GGACTGCCTTAAAATTAAGAACTCTGGATCATCAAAAGATAGTCATAGGATAAATATATATAATATAAATTATATAATAAATATAATTCCATTGTATATATGTACTACATCTTCTTATTTGAAACTACAAAAGGTCTATGTCCAAATATAAAATGGCCAACAAATTTGAATAGGCACAGGAGAGTAGAGGATATCCAAATGGCCAATAAACATAAAAAGGCACTTAATTTCATTAAAATAGGAGAATGCAAATTAAAACCACACTAAGCTATCAATACTTACATTTTGATAGAAAATTTAAAAATTAAAAATAATAAATGTTGGACCCTGGTCTGTGTGGCTCAGTTTGTTGGGCATCATCCCATGCACTGAAAGGTTGTCAGTTGGATTCCCAGTCAGGGCACATTCAGGGGTTTTGGGCTTGATCCCCAGTAGGGGCTGTGCAGGAGCAGGCAGTTGGTGTTCACTCTAACATCGATGTTTCTCTCCTTCCCTATCCCTTCCTCTCTTTCTAAAAATCTAAAATAGTAATAAGTGTTGGGAAGCATGTGGAATAGTGGGAACTTGTTATACACTGGGCTGATAATATAAATTGATGCAACCACTTTGAAACTGGCATTAATTGCTAAAGTTGAATATATTTAAAAGCCATCCCTTTCCTATAAATATAATTCCCCGGCAAAAGAGTGTGCACATATATACAAAAATGTTCATAGGAACATTTTTTGTAATAGCCAAATGGAACAACTCAAATGTCCAATAATAATAGAATGAATGAAGTACAGTATATTCATACAATGGGATATAACAGAAGAGTGAAAATGAACAAATTACATTTACATAAAGCAATATACATATAAACATGTTGAACAAAAGAAGGTAAACATGAAAGAATTGTATTGATTCCATTTTTATAGATAGTTCAAAACAGGCAAAAGTAATCTTTGGTTTAGTACTTATGATAGTGATTACCTTTGCAGAAGAGCAAGAAGAGTAATGATTGGGAAGAGGTGTGAAGGGGACTTCTAGGTGTAGGTAATGTCTGTTTTTTACCCTGGGTAGTGATTACTTGAAGGGGTGTGTTTGTGTTCACTTGTGATAATTTATTGAGATATGCACTTTTGGTTTATACGCTTTTCTGTATGTATATTACATACTTTAATAAAAAAGTTTAAAATAAAGCCTTTACACTGAGACATTATTTTTCACCTCTCATTGGCAAAGATCAAAATGCTTGATAATACATTGTTGGCAAGGGAGCTTCCTGCTATTGGGAGCTCTGTTTAGAAGGATCCTTCTAGAAGATTAAGCTTTGACACAACAATACCACTTCTAGGGATTTATACCATAGATGTTATTGTCCATATACAGGACTATTATTTGTAACATTGTAGTATAAGAGATTGGAAACAACTAAATTTCCATCAATTGTTAAGTAATTTGATATATAATGGAGTGCTGTACAGTTGTAAAATATGAAGAAATGCTCAGTGTACTGATAAAAAAAAGATCTCTAAGTGAAAATGTGTTCTACAGTTGCAAATAATACACAAAATACATTACACTCTTTTATAAAAGGGGGCAGAGGTAAGAATATATGTATTTGCCTGAATGTGCATGCAAGAGCTTTGAAAGAACACAATATTGTTTTCCCATGGGAAGGAGGACTGGGTGGTTGGGAGACAGGAGTGGAGGACTTTCTCTGCATATTCTTTTTATAATTCTGCATTTTGGGCCATATATTACCTAATATTTAAAAAATATGTGGAAATCTAATACAAATTTTTCCCCCCCTCAGACATGGCAAATATGTATGTCTTACTCCGTGCTGTGTCCACTGGTTTACCTCATATGATACAGGAGCTGCAAAATCATGTCCATGATGAGGGCCTAAGAGCGACCAGTAATCTTACTCAGGAAAATGTGAGTTATATAAGGAAATGGAAAATTTTCTCTTAGATTATCACGCATTTAGGTTTTTTCTTTTTACTTTACTGTCTTAAACAATGAAAGAAAAGTTTTACCATGCCAATAGATTAAACATCTTTATTAAAATGTTTCAAGCGTAAAGTTTATTGGACACATTTTGAAGTAATCAAATTATTAGAAAATCATTGAATGAGATAAGCTTTTTCTTAGTTATACTGATATGTTCACTTAGCAATCTTAAATAATTGTATTTCTATATAACTGGCACTAATAGTTGTAGTGGTAATGGAATTAATCAATGGTAATATGGAGAACTCACAATTTGCTTTCTTTACATATACTCTGAGTTTGGTAGCCCAGGAAGCAAATTTAGATTAAAATGATCTTCCCTAAATATATGCTTCCTACCCAACGGTGACCATCATGTCCCTAATACCCACTTTTCTTAAGAGTTCTCTGACAATCAAATGACTGTTTACAAAAAGGCATCTTTCCTATCATTGTATCCCTATCATCAAATCTTATTGGACCATCTTGTTTTTACTAGTGATGTTTGATGATTAGATAGATATGACATGAAATATTCTTTTTCCTAAGTAGAGCTATTTACTTGTCATCTATAATGCAGTAATCTATAATAGACAACGTTATTCAGATGCTCATCACTTTAGTTGTAGATTTATTTGTCTTTGGCAAATATTAGATTTTATGTCCTACCACAATAATACATAAGTTTTCTATTTTTTAAAAAAACTATTAATTGCCCTATCTGGTTTGACTCAGTGGATAGAGCATTGGCCTGCAGACTGAGGGTCCCAGGTTTGATTCCGGTCAAGGGCACATGCCCAGGTTGCGGGCTTGATCCCCAGTAGGGGGCATGCAGGAGGCAGCCGATCAATGATTCTCTCTCATCATTGATGTTTCTCTCTCTCCCTCTCTCTTCCTCTCTGAAATCAATAAAAATATATTTTAAAAAATAAAAATAAACTAATAGTTGTTATATTTTTATGTTTGTTAATCTGTGTTTTTTTATTGGGTTTATTAATTTATTTTATTAGTTTTACAGATTCAGGATGTTAAATAATATTAGACATAGAGGCATAGAGTTTACTGTCAAGGACTGGGAGATAGAAATAAAAGAGAATGAATTTGTAATAGACACATAATTTAGCTGACTTAGTTAAGTCTTAAGTACTATATAATTATCCCCATTAAGAGTGAAAGCTCGCCCTAACCGGTTTGGCTCAGTGCATAGAGCATCGGCCTGCAGATGCAAGGGTCCCAGGTTCGATTCTGGTCAAGGGCATGTACCTTGGTTGTGGGCACATCCCCAGTAGGGCGTGTGCAGGAGGCAGCTGATCGATGTTTCTCTCTCATCAATGTTTCTAACTCTCTATCCCTCTCTCTTCCTCTCTGTAAAAAATCAATAAAATATATTAAAAAAAAAAAAGAGTGAAAGCTCACACTCTAACCAGTTGCTTAGTGGTTAGAGCATTGACCCAGGGACTGAAGGGTTATGGGTTCGATTCTAGTCAAGGGCACGTATCCTGGTTGCAGGCTCGATCACCACCCTAGGCAGGGCATGTGTAGGAAGCAACCAATCAATGTGTCTCTCTCACTTTGATGTTTCTCTCTCTGTCTCTACCTCTCCCTTCCACTCTCTCTAAAAATCAATGGAAAAATATCCTCGGGTAAGGATTAACAAAAGGAAAAATAAAAAGAGTGAAAGCTAAGTATGTCTTCATGCTGAGATGTGGGGGATTGCCCAACTCCAGGGGTCTCAATTTTCGCAGATACTTGCTTTTGAGCTCTGCTCTCTCTTTCAGCCTTCAGTGGCTTTGAAGGCAGTTTTTGTTTATATAATCCTCTTTGAAAGTGATAGGCTTAGTGGTTCAGAGACTGTATCTTGTTACCCTTAAGAAACAGTATTCCAACATCGGAGAGAAGTATGTTTTCAGTGAGTTCTTCTGGCAGAGGAATTATAGTCCTGCATTGCTGGTGTTGAATGACAGCTAATTTCAACATTAAAGTTTTAGATTTTTAAGACAGTTTCCAAAAAATATTTTTTTAAAATTTATTTTAGAGAGGAAGGGACAAGGGAGGGAGAGAGAAACATTAATGATGAGAGAGACTCATCAGCTGCCTACCATACGCCCAACACTGGGGATTGAGCCTGCAGCCCACGCATATGTCGTGACCAGGAATCGAACCGTGACCTTCTGGTCCATAGGTTAGTACTCAACCATTGAACCACACTGACTAGGCAAGACAGTTTTAGCTAAAAATACTTTTTTGAGAAAGTGTGTGCTTGCATAACATGAATTTTCTTGGGAAAAACTTTACTCTTAATTAAATGACTATTTAATAACTCTAATTATATCTTAGAACTTCTTAAAATGTATTTTGTACTTTGTATTTTATATTTCTAGATGCCAACACTATTTGTGGAGTCAGTTTTGGAAGTACATGGTAAATTTGTTCAGCTTATCAACACAGTTTTGAATGGTGATCAGCACTTCATGAGTGCATTGGATAAGGTAACTTTAATAATAACTATATCTACAGATATTTCTCAATTTATGTTGGTGTTATGTCCTGGTAAACCCATCACAAGTTAGAAATATTTTAAATCAAAATTCACTTAATACACCTAACCTCCTGAACATCTTACCTTAGCTGAACCTACCTTAAACGTTCTCAGGACACTCTCATTAGTTATAGTTGGGCAAAGTCATGTAACACATTAAATACATAGTAGAGTATCATTATTTATCCTTGTGATGGCACACCTAACTGGAAACTATGGCTCACTGCCACTCCCCAGCATTAGGAGAGAATATTGTACCACATATCACCAATCTTGGAAAAGATCAAAATTCAAAGTACAGTTTATTGAATACATATTGCTTTTTCACATATTAAAGTAAAAAAAATCGTAAAAATCATATTAAGTCAGGGAACGTTTGTATAAATACAGTTGACCCTGGGATAATTCAGAAGATAGGGCCCTGATACCCCTCCCCTTTAGTTGAAAATCCACATATAACTTTTGACTTCCCCAAAACTTGACTACTAATGGCCTACTGATATTACCAGAAGCCTTAATGATAGCATAAACAGTCAATTAATGCATATTTTGTATAATTAGTATAACTACATTATCACAATAAAGTAAGTTAGAGAATAAAGAAATGTTATTAAGAAAATCTTATGGAAGAGAAAATACATTTACAGTATTTGTATCAAAAATCTGGGTGTAAGTGGACTCGTGTTTTTTAACGGTTAATTGGAATTCTATTTCAATATTCATTCTTTAGGGCGGTTTCAGGATTGAGGCTTCTAATTACAAGCTTTCTAATCTTGATATGGAGATTAATTTAAATGTGAAAATCAAAATAATAACAACTTTCAAATTAACAACAAATGGTTAAATTGAATGTTCAAATTATATGGAGATTGAATTTCTCATGATTATGAGAACAATGATTCTAAGGGGAATTGTTAGTAAACATTATAACATGTTCTGAAAAAATATGTATAATTTAGTGTTTTAGTGCTGATTTTTAATTTGAATAAATAATATTTCAAAGAAATAAGTATATTTTACCAATTTTTGAATTTTGGTATACTTTAAAGGAAAATTGCTGATATGGTTATTATAAGATTTTTTTAAAAAAATGTAGTCTTATTTTATCTCTGTTCAGATATCAGTAATGAGTTATAAAGAATAGCTTTCAGTAGGAATGGGATATATAATTGGTCTATAACTACTATGAGGCATACAGTTAGAGGAGTTTACCCTGCGTTCAAAATGAAAACAAAATTAACAGTTTATGACCAAAATGCTGTGTTTTGTGTAGGGTAATAATTTATGGATGTGCAGATTATACCCTATTACTAGTTAATTACTGGCTTGTTTTCTATTTAGGCTCTTACGTCAGTTGTAAATTACAGAGAACCCAAGTCTGTTTGCAAAGCTCCTGAATTGGTAAGTTTGATGATTGCTTAAAAAAATCTTATGGACATCAGTATTAGAAAATGAAAACTGAGAAGAATGTTAAATTAATTTGTATTTGTAGCATGTTTCAGAAAAAGGTCCATGAAACTAAATTATTAAAAGTAAACATTATCTACATCATATATAATTTGGCATTTATTTAAGGAATACAGTTTGACCTATGAACTATAGCCTTTTCTTGAGAAATAACTGAAGGAAAAAAAATATTTTATTTAATAAAGTTTGGTGTTTTTTGTTTGTTTTTTTAATATGAAATGCTTCACTAATTTGTGTGCATCTTTATGCAGAGTCCATGCTAATCTCTGTTGTTCCAATTTTTGTAAGGCTTCTAAAACCCAAGTGGTACAGTTTGGGTTTTAAAGTATGTCTTCTCTGAAATAATTTGCATTACTTCTCATAGAGATTTTATTTTATCTGAAATTGAAAGGAAATTTGATGATAATTAAAGAAAACTTAATTATAAAGTTGTGGTAAGAATAAAAAAAGTAATTGTTTAATGTTGAAAATTATAGACCTACTCAAAACGCACCTAGGTGTTCTTTGGAAACTTCTGTTATTTATGTCAGTGTTTTATTGTTTACTGTGTTGATTAGATTTTTGAATTATTTATAGTTTTTTTAAAAATTTGCCTTATGACATAGTTTAAATTCTTTAGTGCATGTTCATAATTTTAAAAACATAAGCTTTAGGATGGCAGAGACCTTATCCATTGATATTTTGTACTATTGTCCTTTGCCTTTTTTGAGGCATATGTATGTATAGAAGGGCCCTTTATAAGATATACTGTCAATTTCTATTTGAGCTTGCTAAGTACTGTGACAACTTACTAAAGAAATCAGCAAAGGGGATGACTGAGAATGAAGTGGAGGACAAACTTACCAGCTTCATTACTGTTTTCAAATATATCGATGATAAGGATGTTTTTCAAAAGGTAAGTTGTGAATAGAGAAGTTTTATTTGGTTTAGTCAGATTTTATTTATTTTTGAAATTTAAGTCATCAGAAAAGAATTAACCTTTAGAAATATTTCTTAATATAGTTCTATGCAAGAATGCTGGCGAAACGTTTAATTCACGGGTTATCTATGTCTATGGATTCTGAAGAAGCCATGATCAATAAATTAAAGGTAATGCGAGCCTTTGATCTGAGAATGTCATAGAAATTATTCTGCTAGCACAAAAAGATGTTCATTGTAGCAATTAGATATAACAACAGGAAATAATCAGCCAGTGACTGGTTAAATGTATAATGGTATATCTATATGATGGGATATGCAAATACTGTATTAAAGGACAGATCAAGGTATCCCCTAAAAATGTATACACACTTAGAATATAATTATAAAGGCAGTGTTTATGAAAATATATTTTACTAGAGGCCCAGTGCACAAAAATTTGTGCACGTGGCGGGGGAGGGGTGGGGGGACGGGACGGGGGGGTCTCAGCCCGGCCTGTGCCCTCTCGCAGTCTGGGACCCCTCGGGGGATGACCACCTGCTGGCTTAGGCCCACTCCCCCGGGGCTGGGCCCGAGGGGGGCGGTCCCCCATCC